AAGAATTATATTTTTTTAGACATGATAAAAAAGGAAGGCTAATAATTATTAATAATCAGAATGTGTATAAGTATGTTCAGATAGTAAAACGAAATTAGATTGGGTGCGTATCTTATTTTGTTTCCATGTATTACTTGATATTATCGGCTATGATTTATGTATTTATGAAATTTTAATTTCAAATTTTTAAATTGGACTTAAAAAGTTCAGGAAAAAGATTAGCAATGTTAATATATTTTATTACGCGTTAAATTTGCTAAATAAAAATCTTACTAAAATGTTTCATAGATGTTAAATACCACAGAGAAATTTGCGAATGATGTGTGTCAGGTACACCTGCAGGCTCTGTGTGCAGGTTCATTGAACTCTGTGAAGGCGGTGGAGGAGATAATCGAAGGTACAGAATAAGCAAGAAAAAAGAAGTTTCAAAAGGGCAGAGGAACGGAAGCCAAAGTGGACCATGCCGTTTTACATATTTTAACGGTTCTTCGTGTATCTTCGACCCTCATGAAATTTGTCTGTCTTTTTTTCATTTTGATCCTTCTTCTCTTCTTCTTTCTATGTGACTTAGCTACCTTTGAAAAGCGAGTAGTGAAAACGATCAATCTTGCAAGAATATCCCTCATATTTTATTTATATTTAAATATGTGCTATTCCAAATGGACAAAAATATCTTAAAAAGCAATGGAAATAAGAAGAGCTTACGGAATAGAGATTCTTAGATAGCGAAAAATTAGATAGAGAAAATCTAAAATAAGTGTTTATAACGCGTCTATGAAACTTTTAAATGCTTTAACCTATATAAATATTTTCTCTCATACTTTTTTTTAGCATATTTAATATAAATAGAAATTCTTAAAATAAATAAATGTCTATTGATAATAATTTATGATAAAAAACAAATATCAGAATAAAGATAAGATGTGATAAAATATCATCATAATCATATTATTAACAATTATTAATAACATATGATTATATATGATTAACAACAAACAATAAAATTTGATAATCAAATGCAAAATTAATTGCGTATATCTATATAAATACATATGCACCAAATATAAAAATTATAATTGTTATATGTCTAAACACAGTTCTTGTTGAAAGCGTTACAATTATTGCGTTCCATTGTTCACTTATTGATTGCCTTTTATCTTCGCATTGATGAGCATGAAGTGTACTTATCATGCGGTAACAATGAATTTCACTATTCTGTTTCACTCACAAACAGATCATACAAATATTCCGCAGCTAGCTGGTTAACCGGACGCATTACATAGCAGAGAGAGATGTGCCACGAGAGCACGTTTTCACGTATCACGCGACATGTGGATTCGGATTTCGCTCGCGCTGAAAAATCTGGCAATAGTATTTGGTTGTCCACGAAATGGATTAGATGTTTTAATATTTAGTAACAAATGGAAATTTTCACGAATTCTAAATTTTTAATAAATTGATCTTTTATTATTATTTAATTGTGACAATAGAGATAGTTGTTTCGTCGAATTTATTTCTATTTATAACTTATTAAAATAAATTTATTTAAATAATGAAGACTCTTTTAATTTTTCACAGCATTTGCTAAATGTTAAATTTAAAACAGAAACTACAATTTTTAATTATAGTTTTTAATTTACTGTTATAAAAAATTTTATGACATCTTATTCAAATTATCTTATTAGATTTTAAAGCTAACACGTATCGTAATCAGCAAAATTTTTTTGTATTGTAACTGTTTTTTAAGATGCAAAATGAAAAAAATGTGAAATTAAATTTATAATCTTGTTTAATATTTTTGATATTTTTATATTTTTGAATCGTTTCTCATTCTCTTTGCTACTCTTATATTAGAACAATGTTATATGCCAATTGGCATCGCTCCTGGAACAAACAATTACGGATAAAAATAGTACGTAATAACATTTATCATGCCATATGAATATTATGATATTCCTTGTCATATTACTTTTCTCATAAATTAGATGTCGTCACGACTTTGATAAAACAATTACATTAATAAAATAAATTTTTAATGTTGAATGCCTGTAAATTTGTTTATTTTGAAAATACATACAAATATATAGATATCTCATATTAATATTTTGATTGATTACACTAATTTTTGCATCTACATGAAAATATTATTGCTAAATATTTTTGAAATAGTAATTAAAAAGTAATTAGGATATTTATATAACTTTAAATATAACTTTAAAGAAACTTAGCAAATATAAGTACACATTTAAAATACATAAAATGTTATTTTTTCTTAATTCTGTTAGAATCAATTAGATATCTAATCCACAGCTATCAAAATAAATCAATAAATTGTTTACAGTAGCACAATAAAATAAGCACTTAACGCTAAAACATTGATCAGAGTGAAAATTAAATGAAAGTGAATATATAGGCAACAATAGCGCATTATACACGTAGTGTAGTTCGGCAAAGTTGCTTAGCAGCGAAAAGAAGATACCAAGCGGAGACAGAGAAACGGAGCAAAAAGGATCGAAGAGGAGACCTTTGCTTATATGGTCACTGATTACGGAGGAACCAAGGGCCCCAGGGCCTTGAGACCGCTATTCTTAGAAGACATCGTTTGTTCTCTCTTCCTCGCCTCATCCTTCTCCCCGACTCCTTCGCAACTACCCTGCAGCGAACTTCTAATTACCTTGCATATCTCCCTTCTTTCTCTTTCTCGCTCGTTTTTCTCATAACTTCTCTCCTTGGACCATCTCTCTCTTGCATGCATTATGCATTTGGAGATCGCGTGATAGCTATGGATTATGCGGTCGCATCGGGCCTTCTTTTCCGCGAAAGAAATCGCGAATTGGGTTCGCTGCAATGCAAAACTTGGACAGACGAAAAGGCGTAGTTACGTAAAAATTGCAAATGAGATGAGGCCACGTTAAATGAAGAGTAATTTTATATTTATATGATATCATTATTAAACATTTTTTATATTAAAAAAATTTTTTAGACAAAAAATTAAATTTTAGTAAATTAAAAATTAAGTGCCAAAATTTTATTAATTTAAACTTAAAATTAAAATGTGGTCGACAATAATAATAATTTAAAAAATAGTAAAGAAATAGAATTAAATAGAATAGAATTAATAGTAAAAAATGATCGATTTTATGTATCATGCTGTTATTTTATACGTTATACTACTAAATGATTATTTTCAATCAAACTGTACGAAGATATAAGAAAAATAGAGAGAAGAAAGAGAACAATGATAAATTGTGCTTATCAAAGAGTGCAAACAGAAATTGCCTTTTGTGTATATAATACATCGTACCGACATGTTCAACTTTTCTCACCTTGTTTCCGGTAAAATTCCCACTGCATATATTCACGGCATATTGGCGTTTCCACGCTTTTGCCCGATAACACGTTTCACTAGACTCATTCCTTTTTTCGTCATTCTGATAAACTATCCGCGAACTTCCCCAGAAAATTCCGGTATGGCCGGAATTGAATTTGCCCTGCCGCATCGTCGATGAAATGGAATTCAATTATTAGTAATACGGTGAATCGGTGGATCATGATTGAAAAAGGATCGCGCACTGAATGGCGAGAGAAAAAACGGATGTGGAGACGAAATGAAGATTTTGGTTGGAAAATTAAACGTGCAAAATTAATGGGACTTAATTACGAATCTCTGTTTAATTGCGCACCTGGTGCTTGCTCGATTGTTTATCTAATAAATAAATCCATTCGTAGGAGAACAGAGTCAAATGATGAGCTTCTCAATGGGATCATGAATCCTCTCGGGAGAACAGAGGATATATATATCGAATATGGTGCGGTAGCATGTTGAATATCTGCACATTCGCCTTGTTCAATATTGATTACATACTAGTCGCTGAGCAAATGTAAAAGCTCTATTTGAGAAAACTTTACAGAGATTAATAAATTATTTATGTGATATTATTTAGTTATTAGATTAAATTTATTACATCAAATTTATTATAGATTAAATTTATTTAGTTATTAGATTAAGTTTATTAGATTAAATTTATTAAATTAAGTTTATTAAAAATAATGAGATAGATCAAATAATTTTGAAGATTGATAAAATAGTAAAATAACATAATTGGAGATAATTTACAGAATAAAATATTGTAATTCTAAAGTGTATTTTGTATATATTTCATTTAGATATAGATTTTATATTGATAGCATTTACGTTTGAATGAAATACCTGTATTTGGAAATTTTTACGGAAAAAAAATTAATTCTTATTAAAGTTACATTAATTGTAACAATTACTTATCCACTTAGCACAACTACATTAATCTTTCATGATAAATTTCTCCACTTACTGGGCTGGCATTGACACCACACTTCATTAATTCTGTTGTTTTCGTTTGGTGATACTAAAATTAATAATCTCGACGATGAAGATTCTCGGTCTCGCCCGAGGGCCAGATTCAATAATCTGACGGCAATTTATATCAAATTAGCGGTGCACGCGTGCGCGATCGGATGGAATTGCCACGATGGAAGAGGCTACGGTAAACGCAGCCTCTTCATTACGGACGCTTTAAGTACCGTGATCTGAAAATGGGCTCCTTTGCAAAAAGGGGCCCCAGCAACAATGTGCGCCAGTGCGCTCACGACGACAGCGCGTATATGTGTGCATGCGATATTATTATAATAAATGGTTGCGTGTTGCTTGTCTGTTGCAGAAAAATTACTGAACAGCGAGGGCCGCGAGCTGCGACGGGCTCTCTTCTCCCTCAAGCAGATTTTTCAGGTGGGTTTACAATTCGTGATGAGATAGAATGAGCGGGGTCGCGCGAGAAGGCCGGAAAGAATATATAGTGAACGTATAATATAGTAGAAGGATGAAGAAAGCAGTTGAGGGATATGCGACGAAGCTGAGTGGATATTTTTGCGCGAAGTTACTTGCATGACGAGTAAATATTTGCATTCGAGCGAATGCAGCTTTATTGTTTATAGGAGACACAGTTTTTTCTTCTTTTCTCTAAGAAATATGACTTGATCAAAAATTTAACTTAAATATTTAATGATTTGAACTCATAAAAAAATATTTATTTCTATAAATTATTTACAAATATAT